TTCCCCTTTGGACTTGCTTGCAGGTCATTTGACGGAATCATCACCCTGAACCGGAACTTGAAGAGCCTGGACCAGCCTGACCCATCCACACAGGACGGACTGTATCATCAGTTGGCGCCGTCTGTGGGAACCTTGTGGTTTATTCGTGCGCTAGTTGTGTTCGCTATTGCCGGAGCCCTCCTTTCTCACTATTACCTTTTTTCCTCTCACCCGTCCAGGTGTATGGTCACGACTAGAAACGCTGAGCATTTGAATAACGCTGCTGACCACCAACCCGACCCTCCCAATCCAAACAACCCGTCACAGTATTTCATCTAGCTTACCAACAGCATTAACCGCATGGCCGAGCAAAACCAAGCCCTGATAAATGCTCTACTCCAAAGAAACCTTCCTATGCTCTTCCACCACCTCCAGATATTCCCCCCACTCTTCTTTGTTTTTTCGTTTTTAATTTCTACTTGTGTTACTCAAGCTTGTTAACAAAGAGTAGTATTTGTTTTCAACTTAATTTGTGATTTTATTTTGGATATACAGTTGGACAAAAGTCAAGGGAGGAAATATTTCTCGGAGACCCGTTTTGGATTTTGTAGATGGCCTTCATATCAAAATCACAGAAAAGAGCAACTGAATGGGATAATATTTCAGAGAAGCAAAAACCAGTTCTGCTTTATAGCCTTACGTGCACTATTTTTTCTTGGTTACTTTGTTTTAGTTTTTTCGTTATGTAATTCATACTGTTATGTTGTTCAAAACTACATACTGTTCTGAAATGGCTACCCCATGTTTGTGATATGTATGTATACTTTTCATTAATAAAGTTTTTTTTTTTTTACTGATAAAAATAAATAAATATGTAAACTACGCTCTATGCATAAACAATATTGCTTTCCTTTGTACTTCGGTAAAAAAAATTCTGAATACTTTCCTTAACCATTGGATGAACACTATAGTTTGCTGTAATTCCTCTTGTTGTTCGGCTTCATTGAGCAATTAAATTTACAAATAACGAAAATCTCTATCTGTTTCCCTGGGATTTTTTTTCTTCTTCTTTTGTACGACCTCATCATGATAGTACTCCGAAAATGTTGAATAATTTTCCAACATGAAAAATACTATTAACTACTACATGAGGAAGTTTCTCACCCTACAAACTCTTGGGAATGAGATATCAAATGTCTCAATTAGTGAATATTTAAATCTTTAATTATTTAATTTTATAGAAACTAATTACAGAACCTTCATGTGGACGTGGAGTCCACAAAATTTGAGATATAATTGATATTAACCTTTTTAAAAATGAGAATTGCAAATCAATAAAAAAATAAAATAAATTGGAAGTTAATGTAAAAATATGTACATGTAAGTAGAATTTGTATTATGGTACAAGTAAAATTACAAATTTTAATTGCACCATAGCACAAGAGTACTTACATTACATCTTCATACCAACTAACCAACCAAATCAAGTCTTAAGTCTCATCAAATGAGATCGGTTACATAAATCATTTTTCTCCACTCGACTCTATCAAAGGTCATTGCGTTAGTAAAATTTAGGAGATTCATATGTCTATTTACTACATTACCCCATATCAATTTAGGTCTACCCTTCCCCTAACATTTTCATTTACCGTTACTGTACTGCCTCTGTTAGTTTTCATTGTATATGACCAAACCATCTCAATCTATTCTCTCTCAACTTATCTTTTATCGGTACTATTCTTATATATTCTTGAATACATTCATTCCTAACTCTATCTTTTCTAATCTTATTATACATCCACCTTAGTATACTCATTTCAGCAACACTCATATTATCTAAATGTTGTTACTTAGTTTCTTAATATCTCGTCCTATACAACATCACTGGTCTAATAGCCATTCTATAAAACTTGTCAGTAATAGCACTTACACCCTCACTACCGGCAATTGTGTGATGTGCAACTGCGATGCTTCAAACAATTGGACGTAAGTGTCCCATTACCGATAATTTTAAGTGTACAAAATTTGATCATAGATCTAGGCACAATTGTGATCGAATTTTGTGCACACGTAGAAGAACTAATCTCATTACTTGTAAACTTAATTTCTCGTCTTTGTTAACTTGTCATTTCTTCCAAAATATGATAATACGTCATTTTTTTCTTGCTCATGTCATGTCCTCAGATTACAATGTAAGTCGTCCCAACTTAATTCATCCATCTGGACAACTTGCCCTTCTATGCAATGCCAAGGTGTAGAAAATTCACACCTGGGAAACACCACATCTTCGGGTTGTAATCGCACGACTTGTGCCTATGCCGATTACACTAACCAAACCAGCCTAACAATCCTTGCCCAAGACTTCACTTGTCTAGGTAACTCTACTATTCCTCATGTGAGGTGATGCACCATTCTAATTTAGAAATTATATTCTATAAATGTGGAATTATAATGACTTCTTGTTGTTGTTGCTGCTGAACAGTTTCAAATAATAACAATGCTTCAAGTTCAATTTGCAAGGTTGGAGTTGGAGCTTCATTCTCATCCTTGTCCAATTGGTGTTGCTCTTTCATCATTTTATTCATTGAAAACGAAATTACTGTTTTTCCTTCCCCTTAAATGTCTCTTTTTGGCCATCCCCCCCACACCCAATGGTGATAGACACTACAACAAAATTGACTTTTTACGGCACCACATCAACGACATATAATGAATGCAGGCTGTAATTTCTCACTTTTACGACTTATTTTTTTTGCATGTCGTAAATAATATACTAACCACGGCGCGTCTATTGTGCATGTCGTTAATAGTAAAAATGATAATTTTTTTACGACTTGTAATATTAATTATAAATAATAAAATTTTATATAATATACATATGATATACCGTTAATACATTAATTATATACGACATGCGTATACCGGTCGTTAAAAATAAATCACCTTTTACGGCTTATCATGTGTGTCGTGAATAGTATGCCCAAAAAATTTGAGGCGCCAAAACCCAATATTGTGGCGCCACTTATCCCCAAAAAAAAATAAAAAAAAATAAACGCTTTGGTTTCTGAAAAATGAAAAAACAGAGTTTCTAAGAAGAGAGGGAGAAGAAAGACGTATACAGGTGAAGGGGAAATGGTTCTTCAAACACTTGGTCTTCAATCAATTGAATCGGTGGAGATCGAGACGCATGGCAGTCCATTGACGCAGTCCGCTTCCTTCCTCAACAAAGCAATCACGCTTTCCATTGAATCAATTTGTAATCTGCTTCGACTATTTCGACTTGGACTTGGCTTCAATTTCTAATTGTTTATCTATTCTATTTGCGTAGGCCCTTTCGAGGTTCTTCAAAGCCACACGTTGGTAAGGCATTCTTTCTTCTCTTCCTTCTTCCTAAAACCCTTGTTTCGTCTCTCTCTCTCTCTCTCTCTCTCTCGGTATATGTATATATATATTTTTATATACCCCTTATCCCTTCCCTTCTCTGTTTTTCTCCTCTCCTCTTCTCTCTATACATACATACATACACCTATATCTATCTACATTTTTGGGGTTTTTGCTCTCTGCCATTTTCACTTTTTTTTTTTGGTTTTGATTTTGGTTTTGATTTGTTTGTGGATTGTTGTTTATTGAGTATGATGTGTATTTCGGTATCTATATTTTTGGGGCATTACTGTATGATTATTGGATATTCCATTGGCTTCCATGTTTATAAATTCATTCAAAATAAAGGATGAATGTGGATTTAAGATAATATTAACCAGATCCATAGAAATTGGGGCATTATAGTGGTACATAAAACAGAAATTGTTCACAGCACTTCGTTTCTTCCAAACGTTCTGTTTTTCTGCGTTTTGATTCCTCGCTTACTAATTTCTCAACAAGCTGTCCCTCATTTTCGTCAGCAGCCAATCTTTTCCTTTTTTTGGAGCTCTTTTCTAGAAAAGTGGATGCTTTGATTACAGTTATCAATTGTCTCTTGTAATATCTGTGGAGTGGTTACTATAAGTTTCATAGTGGGACACAACATTATTAGCTTGTAGCTGTTGCTGTGGATTCTCACAATTAAAGATTTGTTATCTAAAATTAACTAGAAAAACTATCTATCAGTTACTTGTTTTAGAATATGTGCGTGGCAAAGCCAGGGTTGTGTAGGCTTCTTTCCTGTACTTGACCGAAGGAGTTCTACTGCAGTCATGGGATTAGGTTTCTTTCTTGTACTTGACTGAAGTTGTTCTAATGCAGTTGTGGTCTTCTAGTAATCAAGGGACATGATAGTTTTTTTCGATTGCAATGGCAATAGGTTTCTGTGGTGTAAGTTTTTCATTCTATCACTCAAGTTCTTTGTTATGCATATTGTACTCGTACAATGCAACATTCATTTTTCTCCCGATATAGAATATGTTGAATTTGAGAAGGTCCAATCTGATTGACCTATGTGGTGGATTGCTGCCAAGCTAGCAGATTTTCTGTTGATTTATTGTTTTAAGTCAAACTTCACAACTTGAGTTTTATCATAAGGTACAGCATTGTTAGCTTGCATGTTAAAGCGTGACTCTCTACATGTGTATAGACTCGTTTGCTTCTCTTGTCTCTCTCATCTATTATCTATAATTCATATTACAGCTTCCTTCTGTGTATTTGGTTTAGTGAGGTTGTCCAAGATTGGTGAATCTCCTGCTTATGCGTGTGAAGGCCTCTCTTTTTTTCTGCACAGAAGATGTAATGAGAAAGCAGAATTGGTTCAAAGAAGATAAAGTCAAAGCATTATAATAAGGTAGACACTATGTGATCCCTTTATACGACCTTATTAGCAGAGTTGAAATCATCTGGAATGCATATTGAGATATCTCTTTTTCTGAATGGAGTAAAAGACCCTTTTGGATGTTCGTTTCTTTTGGCTTAGGTGTTGAACAGATTTAGACTACTTTGTATACTTCTTCACTTATAATATTATTATTAATATGGAGCACTGTTCTTTTTCTGCTTTAAATGCCATAAAATCTTTCAAATATTTTGTTTGAAATGCTTCTTTTATAAATTTCATCCTTTTGTTGCGTGTGTTTATTCAATTTATTCTAACTTACCCACATGCTGCGGGTGGCATTATGTTTAACCAAAATAAATAGGTTCATCTTTTTCAGACAATCTTTACCAAGGCAAGTATACAAACTACTTATAGTTAGTCGTAGTGAAGAGGCACTCAATTCATTTCTAGTGAGAAGATCTTGGTTTAGTGAAACCAGTTTTAGATTAATCTCGTTAGATAGTAAAAAGTCCCAATGTTGTTGATTTTCTGTAATGGTGACTGGATTAAGGGTCCTCTACTTAATCACAAGTAGTCATAGAAACTCCTTGCTTTATGCAAGCATAGAATGATAAATCAATTTAATGTTGCCAGAGATCCTTAGATATTTCTTGAACAAGGTCTGGATATATATATATATTGTGTGGTGGGAGTAGTTGGAATTATATGATCTAGATATAAAATGTTTGGTACTGTGTTAATATGTTGGATTTTGCCAAGAGAAACCAGTTGATAGTCTTTGCTAGTCAAATGTTGACATAAAAGAAGAGAACTTGGTGCCTTGGCCATTCTTTAAGATTGGTGCTTAGGCACCTAGTTACATTAGGTTGGACTCACCCCTGCTATGTTGAAAGTGCACAACTAAGAGTAGGATATGCTCATCTACCAAAAATTTTAGGATTTGTTAAAATAGTTTAATTGACTAGTGTAAAAGCAAAATACACGTCTTTACCAAGCCCAAACTTGGATCTCTCTCTCTCTCTTTCTCTGTGTGTGTGTGTGTGTGATATCTGTATGGGTGTGTATTTTACTCATGGGCTATGACCCCCTCTCGCCCCTATCTACATGAGTTTTCCCTTGATTGACGATCAAACAAGGCACATTATCTGTTTTTTTTTTGTGTGACAATGATCTATGATTGCACCAGTGAGAAGTATTTTCTTTAAGGTATTAGGAAGAAAAGGACGGTCCCAAAGGTTGTGGGTTTAGGCAGCAATACTTGATGGCCGTTAATTTACTTTAGATTTTGTGATAGCAAAATGCATTAAATTCCAGATACCCAGAATTTGCTGTTTTATTCAGCTTTATTGGATTAATTGAGTTGGAGGCATTTCATGCTTGCTTATTAAACTAAGCACACACAATAATGAGACTGTAAGTTTGGCCACTTGTTAGTTGAAACTCCTGTGGACTTGGTGGACTGTGTCTCTTTACAAGCACGTTAGTAATTTTCTTTATACACATATAGGCTGTTTGAAAATTTTCCATTGTTTAATATTTTTTTAGGGGCCTTAGGCTTATCTGGCTTTATCTTCGACTCTTTACTAAATCTTATCTTGCAAAGATATATATTTTTATAAGTTTGAATATCTTCATTTTTTTTCTCTTAATTGCATGATATCATAATAATAGTGCTATGTAGTACTCTGGTAAGCAGTACCTTGATTTTATCACCCTTTGATATTAAATAATAATGAGATTGTTTTAGATTTGTGAACACTACAATAGTAAGAGAACTATTCTTGAAATGGTTAAAAAACAGAAAAATATACAACTACAAGGGGCATGCCCCAGGCCTAACCACAACTATACAACCAGCCGAAAGCAAATAGAGCTAAACCAAACAAAAACAAAAGGAAACCCTACTTAAGACGAGAGAAACCAGAGCTATTAATTGGATGGAGAATAAAAACCAAACAGTTAATAAACTAAGAAATCTCACAACTAAGCATCTTACAATAATAAACCAGAACAAAAACTGATTCTAAAGATATGTTCATGAACCCCATACCAACAATATGTGGGTCATGAACATATTCCATAAACTCAAGAATTGGATTAAAAATAAAGCAAAAGATGTCCCTTACGCAACCCGTAGGGGTAGGCCAAATGATGACACTGAACATAACCACTATTACAAAAATATAGGATGTCCATTAATAAATAAAACTTCCATCACACTTGAGGCGCTTAAAGCAGCCATCACCTTGTGCTGCCATGTTCCAGTCTTCAGTAGATCCTGTCGAAAGATTACAGGTACATGAGTCCCAGAAATTGCAGCAAATAATCAATAGATACTTCAAAACAGTTCGTGCACGCTTGCATAAACTCACAATATAAAAGCTAATTTCAGTTGGCCCTCTTATCAGATTCTCACACCACTCAAACATTCTCTCTTTCGAGTACCCTGCCAAGTGAGAAAATGGCAAAAGCACTTCGGAACACTCCATGTATTCAATATATGATCTCACTTCTCTCAACCCACAAGAAATACTCTCACAGCATGCATGTACTATCCTGTCCAGACAACCTGCATGCATAACAATAAGCAATAATAGAAAATTGTTAGCCACACACATTATGGTCATTGCTTTGGGATGGGTAATTTATGCTCACAAGCTCTCAACACTCAAAAAGGCTAACACTTAGCTCACAATAGACCAGCATCCAGCTCATAAATTCTGCAAAATGAGCAAACAAATAAGATAAACCCTCAGTTTCTGCTCACTGCCACTCGACCCACTTGTACTGAACTCCTATCACTCAGCTGGTGCTGTGTTGTCTTCAGAATTGAGGATGGAATCCTCTAAGTTTGCAGGAACCGTCACTAGAGTGCCTAGCAATGTTAGTCATCGACATCACACGAAAATCTTATCATATCCACAATACATTTAAGAACAATCACCTCAGGAACCATTTCTTTTCTAAAAACTCTATCATTTCTAGCAATCCATACTTGATATACAGTGCAAGTAAAAGCCAATTTAATAATAACAGCTTTAATTGATTTCCCTTTAGCAGATAAAGCCACATACTTAGTAACATCAGGCCACTGTACAACAGGCCAAGAGACATTAAGCTTGGTTAGAATGCTGGACCAGATTCTAGGTGAGAAGGGACAATCAAAGAAGAGATGGTTATGGTTTTCACAAGGGTCCTTGCAAAACACACAATCAGCAGATTGAGAAATGCCAAACATCTTTAATCTGTCCCCAGAGTTCAACCTACCTAAGATATCCATCCAAGTCACAAAACTAGCTTTAGGAATGTTGAGACCTTTCAAAATAGGTTTCAACATTTTCAGTTTTTGACAGACTCTGAACATAGGAGAACCCTTAGGCCATGTTTGTTTGGGTGGACATGAGCTTGGGATTGGACTAATAGTCCAATAAAATTATTAATCCGATGTTTGGTTAAACAATTGATGTAAGGACTAATTATTTTAAACTTGACTATTAGTTAAGATAGGATATATAATCCAACGAATTCGTAGTCCTAGGACTATTAGTCATGGGAATGTTAATCCAGTCCGCCCAAACAAACATAGCCTTAATGTATTGCCTCCAAACCTTCTTAACCTCAGGAAGAAACTCCTCATGATCAGCCCAAAAATAAAAAAATTTAAAGGGTTTTTAGAGCTGAATGATCAGACACTCCAGAAGGTAAAAAGTTAGCAAAAAAGTTGGGAAAGGACTCCAACCATTTCTCATTAACCAAAACTCTATCTAACTTGGAGGATATAAACTCGCCCTCACCTCTTTTGCTAGCCCAGGTAAATTGACAACCTTTGTAAGACAAATCATCCATTTAAGAATTCAGAATAGCAACATTAAAACATTCTTTTGAACTATCCCAAGAGAGTTACCCCCCAGTTTCTCATGCGAGAATCTAACAGCATTAAAATCACCCAAGCAGACCAAAGGGAAGCTAGAATGACTTTTGGCAATAGTACAAATATCAGTAAATAGAGGGACTCTCAAGACATGTTTATTTACAACGTAAACAAAAATAGCAAAAAAACTAAAATCCCCTTCAAGCACATATTTACAGATCTGATCGGAGAGATAGCAGATCTGAGAATAAGATCTACGTCTCTAGATCGTTAAACTCACGACCCATCTCGATTATATGAACCGGTAATTGCCTGGAGACATTGACATTGCACTAGAAACCCTAGACAAAATGCAATCGCTATGAACGAGAAAAGCTTTCCATGTATCCCATTGCATGGACTAGAAAGAGCAAGAGACCACAAACGAAGAGACAGAACACAAAACAAAAGCAAAAATGCAAGAAATAAGCTAGATTTGGGGAAAAAATGCAAGTGAATCTACAAACATCAACCAAAAATATATTCCAAATCGTTGTTTTAACCATGAGATTTTACAGATCTTGAGTGAACTTAGCAAATCTAGGTTAGAAAACCCTTACCTTGAGCCCTAGATCGATTTAGATCAGAAGGATTCAAACAATCTCGAAGATATACGCTCAGGTCAGGAGGGAGAACAAGATTTTCTAGATCAAAATCACCAAAAATCGATGGAAATCAAAGAACCAGCCCTCTCTCTCTCTCTCTCTCTCTCAAGTCGCGTCTCTGTTCTATCGATTGAAATCGAAAAGCATATCTAGATATTTGTAAAAGGGCAAAAAAAATCCCCTATTTCACATACACAAAACTGTGCCGTTTCACTGGCACAAATGTTACCCTCCGTTTCATACCATGTTATACCACCGTTTGCCAATAAACTAGTATAGCATAATCGGGAATTTAAAAGATTTGTTCATAGATTGTACGACATTTGTCAAAAACGCCACCAAAAAAACGTGGTTATATCTCCTTTTTCTTGTAGTGTGGAGGTGATATATTCCAGGTTCAAAGGACATTCAACCAATCTTTTTATGTTAATGATGACAATCCGAAATCGCGAGTAACTGTAGGATTCAAGGTTTACAAGCAGCTAATAGCAACTAATAAGTGGGTTGAGATGGATAGCCTGGGTGATGGTGTTCTCTTCCTAGGGTAACAACTATTCTATACACGTTTTAGCTTTTGGGTTTTCCGGGTGCTAGGCTAACTCGATATACTTCATGGATGATATTGTTGGTTCTATCCCTTACATGGGATTTTGCCATCGTTCGGTCATTTCTGATAGTGGAGTCTATAGCTTAGGGGATGGAAACATTCAATGGTTTAATGAGCTAGAAGACGCCTGTTCTTTGTATAGGTCTCCTGCCATTTGGGTTGAGCCGACCTTCCAAGAAAATAATAGTTAAATTAATTTGTCCATAAGATGTATTAATTATTCGCCTTGATTTGTCTTTTCAATTTCCTTTTTCTCCTAATGCGATATTTGATTATTTCATCTTTCGTGTTACGCATATGATCCAAATTATTCTCATGATTTCACATACTTATATTGATTCTTGCGAAATTGTTTTCATGAAGTTCTTGTGGGTTGAAATAATTTTAACCTTGTATGCTTCTACAAGCATGGAATCATGATTACAACTAGTGGACATGTAACATTGAGTCATCTTTTTCTCTAAAATTTGTCATATATGAATTCCTATTTGACATATTTTGGAGGACAACATTGCGACGTCTTAAATAACAAATTTTGAAGGAAAAGATGACTCAATGTTACATGTCCACTAGTTGCAATCATGATTCCATGCTTGTAGAAGCATACAAGGTTAAAATTATTTCAACCCACAAGAACTTCATGAAAACAATTTCGCAAGAATCAATATAAGTATGTGAAATCATGAGAATAATTTGGATCATATGCGTAACAAGAAAGATGAAATAATCAAATATCGCATTGGGAGAAGAAGGAAATTGAAAAGACAAATCAAGGCGAATAATTAATACATCTTATGGACAAATTAATTTCGCTACTATTTTCTTGGAAGGTCGGCTCAACCCAAATGGCAGGAGACCTATACAAAGAACAGGCGTCTTCTAGCTCATTAAACCGTTGAATGTTTCCATCCCCTAAGCTATAGACTCCACTATCAGAAACGACCGAACGATGGCAAAATCCCATGTAAGGGTTAGAACCAACAATATCATCCATGAAGTATATCGAGTTAGCCTAGCACCCGGAAAACCCAAAAGCTAAAACGTGTATAGAATAGTTGTTACCCTAGGAAGAGAACACCATCACCCAGGCTATCCATCTCAACCCACTTATTAGTTGCTATTAGCTGCTTGTAAACCTTGAATCCTACAGTTACTCACGATTTTGGATTGTCATCATTAACATAAAAAGATTGGTTGAATGTCTTTTGAACCTGGAATATATCACCTCCACACTACAAGAAAAAGGAGATATAACCACGTTTTTTTGGTGGCGTTTTTGACAAATGTTGTCAATTCTGTTAACAAATCTTTTAAATTCCCGATTAATCTATAGTTTATTAGCAAACGGTGGGATAACTGGGTATGAAATGGTGGGTACCTGTGAAACGACACAGTTTTGTGTAGGTACAATAAGAGATTTTTTTTTCCCCTTTTATAAAGGTAATTGTACCTAGGGAGTCCAAATCTATCTAGAGATGTTTATCGATTTCTGTTGATTGAACAGAGACGCGACTTAAGAGAGAGAGAGAGAGAGAGAGAGGGTTTTATGTAATTCAACTGTTATTGGGAATTGGTATAACCAAAGGCAGGTACCAAAATTTTCAACTCTTTAGTTTTTATGTAACTGATTGATTGGTTAATTATGTGGGTTTTGTGTTTCTTCCTCTGTTTGTTTGGTTTCTTGATTGATCAAATCTGTGTCAACAATCTTGAGATATTTGGGATTAAATGTTAGCTTAATGTGTCCAGGAGGTAAATGAGATGTGGGCAGGTTTGGGCTATCACAAACGAGCATGATATCTACTAGAGGTGACCTCTTCTTTTGACTCTTGTGTAGCTAGATATTTGTAACACTATTTGATATGAATCTATTTCTTGTTAGAGAATCTACAATTCCTCTACCCAAATCTGCCAATAAATAATCATATACCATTGTTTGGTTGTTTGTTTTACTACTATCAAAACATTTATAAGCTCATTATGAGTTCATTTATTTTATTAAAGGCAGGGCTCTAGTCTGCTGTGATTTGGACTCTAAGCCAATCGCGAAACCAGCACAAAACTAGTTTCTTTTGGGTTTGGACCATAGAGATATCATTGATTGTTAATTACTTGTATTTTATGGTAACAGCTTGACTAGAGGATATTTACTCCATGCAACTGTTTTATGATTGAGGATGGCCCTATTTTGTTAGCTTCTTCAATTGTCTTATACTTGTAACTGTTGGTGACTTTACTTATTGCATTCTATCTATATGTGTAGGCTGTGGCAAGGGCAAATGAATGTTGTTGGTCTAAACAAAGGGATGAGTTTTTGGTGTCTACCTTAAGATACTAAATGTTTTTGGCAAGGCTTGGGAAGAACAATGTGGAGGAAGTATATGCTGCTATATTACATCATATAGCTATTAGGTAGATTTAAGTTATAACAAATCCTCTCATCTTATCCTCTTAGCGACAATTTGGGATCTAATTTCTGTTTAGTTACCGATTGATTTGATGATGATGCGGTGCTGATTTGTTTGAAACCAGACGCGGATCCGTATACATTCATCAATTCCAAAACTGAATTTTTGGTTTTTAATGTTATCTGTAACATTTCTATGCAAATACATGTCTCTAAACCACTAAAGCTCACAAAGTACATGTTTGTTGTTGGTTGCAGTTGGAGCTAGCACCCAGGAGGAGAGAGTCGGATGTAACATGGAGAACACTAGATTATTTCCTATAAATGCAACACTTGAATTATTGCTAAATCTCAAGCAGCAAGGTGTGTCTACTAGCTATTTTTTTCCAAATTAAAGAGCCTATAATTTTGGGATGATAATGAAAGGGTGTTGGAAAGAATGTAAAATCAGCATATAAAGGTTTCCTTTGACTCTCAGTTATTTGCTAAAATTGTACCGGTAAAGACGGGTGAAGATCTTTAAAACTTTTAGAATTTACTTTAAAACTATCGATTTTGATGCAGGGTTGAAATTCTTTACACTCAATGAATACAGCATCCAATTTGTGTTTTATTTCATCTACATGAACTTGCAAATTTCATTGGCTTTTCTAGTAAGCTTCAATTTTTGCAAATGTGAAGACTGCTACTTGGTTTGTTTAGTTATGAAATTAACAAAAACGTTTAATTTTCGATTCTTTTTGGAGATTTTACCTAGGGATGTGAGAATTTAACAATGACACTGACACTGACACAAGGTTTGGATTGCCATCTTTCCCTTAAAATGCTGTAGTTTCTGTTATTGTTCATAGCATGCTTTTCAAGGATTTACTAATGAGATTTAGCAGTTGTGCACATGGTATCCTCTATTTATGCTTCACGCTCATCTATTACCTTTCTTTATAAAGGTGTGTGGTATAACTCTTTCTCTATTTGCCAGATTTTTTTTTTATTATAATTTCTTACCTGTCTAGCCTATTCCATGCTGGTTCATAATTTCTTATCTTTCTAGCTTTTATGGGGCCATTGAATTGTCTTTTTAATTTTGAAAATGTTTTGTTGATGTTTTAAAATTTCTTGATCATTTCTTAATACCTTAAGAAATATTTTTTTCCATGAGTCATCGGTTTTTATACTTATGTGAAGTTTCCTTTGGCATGCAGACAAGAAATGCAACGCGGTTAGTTGCTTCAGCTATTGTCGCGAGTTTAGGTGCCTTAACTCATACATTGGGTACCTTCGTCCCTGTGATAGGAGCAAGTGGATTTGCTACAGCTGCAGCTGCAACTGCTATAGGAACTGTTGTCGGTAGTTTTAGATAATCTCTTAATAGTTGTTGATATGTTTAGAAAATTAAATATGCATAGTTTTGGATGGTTTAAACTTTTTGTACAGTTTAGAACTTAAGGATATAGTTTTCGAATGTTTGGAATGTAAAGACAATTGTTGAATGTTTATAATTTATCGATATAGTTTCTTTGTGATGTTTCAAACAATATTTTGGTGGTTGATTGATGTTTTGTGATGCTTGTTTGTAATATTTGTTAGATTGTATAAAATTGGTCAAATAGAACCTGCTGAATTTTAAAAAAATAATAATAAAAAAATTGCATATTCTACGGCAGGCATAATAAGTCGTTATATTACATATTTTACGGCGCGCAATCAGCGTCGTTATTTGTCTCACTAATTAACGGCGTGCAAAAGTAGTCGTAGAAAAGTAATAACGATGCACAAAATCTACTGTGAAATAGTTTTTAACGACGTAGTATAGCATGTTGTAGAAAAAGTAACGACGTACAAAATCTGTCTTTAAATAGTTTTTAACGGTATACGAAGTATGTTGTTAAAAGTGAATGACTTTCCATGACTGGTCATAATATGGCACGCGTTTGCATGTCGTAAAAGGGTTTTTACGGCGCGCCATTTTTTGTTAATAGTGTTTAAGTTCTGAGGTTGACATTCTGTAAGTGGTCTTGGAAATAGGTTGTGTTCCCGGTGCTACTTCACTAGTGAACTTAATTTTCCTATCAACTAAGTCTTTAGGCAAGTCATTTAGAAATACATCGGAAACTTCACAAGCAACAGAAATGGTTTCTACATTTGAAATATTAGAAACTTTAGTCAAAACACAACATATGTAACCCCTACATCATTTCTTAAGCAGTTTAACAGCTTTCATGGCAGAAATCAAGTATGGGGAAGGAATTACCCTATTCCCGATGAACACAAACTCAAGCAAGCCAGGTGGACGAAATACAACAGATTTATTTACATAGTCAATAGTCGCACAGTACTTTGTCAACTAATCCATGCCTAATATACAATCAAAATGGTCTAAGCTCAAAGGTAACAAGTCAACATATAATGTCATATCACCAATTGTAATATCACATGCCGGATACATATATGCATATACCATAGAATCCCCGGATGGCATAGTTACAGATAATAAATAATTCATGGATTCTAAGGGTCTAGTTAACTTCCGATAAAAGGCATGCGACACGAATGAATATGTAGAACCGGAATCTATCAACACATATGCATTTGGGCACAAATGAAAATTATACCTGACACCACAAACTCAGTGTTCTGCACATCTCCAGGCACTAATGCGAACACCCTCCCTTGTCTCAACATTTCATTCCCAGAGTTATTCCTGACATTGGTTCTGGTATTCGACTTGGCCACCGAAGCAGACCCAGCTGAACTTGTTGCAGGGCAATTGGCGTTGTCGAGCCCAAGTGGACAATCTTTTATCATATGGCCAACTTTGCCACATCGGTAACAGGCACCAGACGCGTGGTGACACATTCCTCTATGCTTTCTTCCACACCCAGGACAGTTTGGAATAGAGCCACTACTCTGACTAGAGCTGCTGGAAGATCTCGTATTTTGTTTCTTATTCATGGCAAATGAACAACCCTTTTTGAAATTGAATCTGGATCTTTACTTTTCCATTATGTGGTTGGTGCCTTGGCTTGTTTTATTGCTGCCAAGGTAGCTTCCGCCATTATTGCTCTATCTAAAACTTCCACATAGGTAGACAGCTTTAAGATGCCTACTCGGTCAAACACTTCCAAATCCAGGCCGCCTTCAAATTTTTGTGCCTTTTTATAGTCAATATCGACCATGTATTGGGGCAAACCGAGCCAACTCCGTGAATTTGGCTTCATACTCGGCCACAGACATCTTACCCCGCTTAAGTTCTTGAAATTCTGACACTTTTCGATCCCTGAAGCATTGAGGAAAGTATTTGTTATAGAATATCTCATTGAATTGAGCCCATGTATCCCCGTTGTTGTTTCGGACCAACAACCACCATCTCCGAGCTTCGTCCTTTAGGGTGTAAGTGGCTAAGAGTACTTTCTGAGTTGTGGAGCACGGAAACACTTCAAATAATTTTTCCATCTCTAGCAACCAAGTTTCTGCCTTTAATGGTTCAATGCCCCCCAAGAAGGTCAGCAGTTTCATTTTCATAAATTCCTGAGTCAGATTGATAATGTCATTGTTATTCGGTTCAACTTGTACCGGCGGAGACGGATGAGGCAAAGGTTGTTGTCTCTGTTGTTGCATTATTACTTCAGTCAAAACTGTAAGCATCTGTTCCATTCTATTCATTCAGGCCTTAGAAGATTCACTTGTATCATTTTCCCTTGCATTCTCCATGTTGCTATAAAGACACCAAGTAATAGTAAACATAGGAATACCCTTGTTCATTTCTTTCAATTTCATTTGTCTAGAGTCAAAGTCAGTTTCCACATGTATAAAGATTACCACACGTTCACATAGGCTGGTGACATGTCTCTAATTCTTTCTAGGACATCCTAATCTCATATAGACTCTTGTGTGCGGTATAACACGTGATTTGATACCACTCTGTCACGACCCAAGCCCGCCTCTATAGGTTTAGCGTTGTATCCAACCAGTAGTTCTTGGATTACCAAAGGCCTCTGAACAAAATGACATATAATCAAGGGGCTGCAGAAGAAAATATACAAAATACAACGCCCATTAAGTTGTGCAGACATACATAGGACAAAATAATTTTAAACTTTATAAGCATACACATGACGTCGCATAGATACAACAATTATACATCACCCCACATACAGATAATTAAAAACAAACTGTTCACAAAACAAGAGAGATCAAAGTTTTGAACTTTCAAAAAGACATGGCCACATGGCTTAACTCGATCCGGAACCTCCTCGAGAGACACAAAGGGTGGCAGTCAAAATGAAATTTTAGGCTATCAACTCTGGCTCTGATCACGTGCCTAGTCACTTACATACATAGTATAAATAGTGAGCGGGAGCCAAATGAATAATAACAGAGTAAAGGGTTTAGATGAATGATGCCCATCACAATTTAATTTCAAGTCTCTTACTGAATAGAAACATAATCATGCTTATATACAGAAACAGAATCATAGTCACATTCTTATCTTGAGTGGTGTATCCATTAGCATTAAGCATATCTCTTTTGTCAAACTTATTAAGATCCACATTGAAACCTCTGGTACCGGTAACATATCTCATACATAAGCCACGATATTGTTTTCCCCGGGCGAGGGCCGGGGCCACGATATTGTTCCTCCGAGTGAGGGCCTCATGACCATAAACCAGAGTATTATGTCCCTTGGGCAAGGGCCTTTGCTAAGGATACCACATAAGCATTTCAAAGAAGTGGATCATCATTCATGTAATCTCATAATAGCCTTTTTTATCATTCGAACACAGTTCATATCATATCATATCATAAAGTTCAGAAAATATTTCATATCGAACATAGTTTTACTGAGTTATTACTCACAGATAGTTATACAGATAGCTTGGCAGCAAACCAATGGATCATCCGCTCATGGCGCGTGACTTACATCAATCGTAACAGATACATACACTGTAACGCATACTTGATTTGTACATAACTCATTTCACTTGCCCTTTGTGTTTCTTCTCCTTATCCTCATTAGGGTGTCCTAATCTTGGCCTAGGAACGCCTAGGATGTAATAAGGATGCCAAAATGTTTTGGAAAACAATTGGTTAAATTCGGAAGACAGGGTCCCCGCTCGAGCTGACACGAAAAATATGAGTGGTCGCTCAAGCATAAATTTCTTCGTTTGAGCGGTCTGTAAACTTGGCAACAGTACTGGTTAAATGAAATTCCTGCTCGACTATCACTCGAGCGGAAGACTGAGTAAAAAGGGACCTCGCTCAAGCGTCACTTTGATCGGTCGAGCAACTTGTAAAATTTTGAAAGACTTCTGGGAGCTCGATTTTCATGCTCGAGCGACACTTTGCTCGCTCGAGCAGACAATGTGAATTCCGGAATTTCCAGAACTGCCTTTAAACTTCAAAACCCAAATTCAAAACCACAAATCATATTCTTTTGGGCCAAAACTCAAGAAAACTTGTCTAAACTTGAAAAATATTGAGAATCAAAGATCATTTCATGAAATCAAAGCCCAAAAGTATGTCAATTGTGCAAAATTCAACTTGAAATGTGAGAACATGAGGTGAACATAACATGCATGCATTCACTTGAGTTCATAGCTCCCAAAACATGATCAAATGAAACACATAAGTCAAAAACATGATGAAGTCCTTGACCAATACCAAAATATGGACATGCATGTGGAAAATCTTGAGGAACAACTTACAAATTTTAGTGAATTGTGCATGCTTGGTTAAATTCTTTGTATATTCATCTTCCTTAGCTTAAATCATGACTTGAATCTTTATATGCTTTTGAATTCTTACATTAGCCATCTTAAATACACAACCAAAGGGTTGAATTCTTACCTTAGTTCTCCAATCTAGCTCCAAATAGTGAATTCACTGAAATCCCATACCAAACCTTTAAATCCAAAGCTAATTCCTTTCACTCTCTAGTGTTTCCTCTGTTTGACCACAACTCTCACTTACTCTCTCTCTCTCTCTCTCTCTCTCTCTACGTTTTTGAGCTCAAAGGATGAGGAAAGGAAGTGTAAAATGTATATAAAATGGTGGTAGTGGCTTTAAGTGGGCTTACTTACGAAAATTAATTAAGTTAAGTTAAGTTAAGAACAACTAAGTGAGATCATTTATTCTAATTATTTGGTTCCAAATCAAATATCAATTGAACCTACTACAAAATTCTAAAAATTCTAACTAACACATAATTTAAGTCAATTTTGCAATCAGATGCCGATAAGGCCTTTGATTTACAGAACATAACAGAAATTCAAACAGATATGTCTACGATGAAAGATAAAAACACAAATAATGCAACACATATGCAATTAATTCAAAATCTGATCTTAATAACTTATTAGGCATATTAAATCATGGATTAACGTTAATCATAGGTTGGAGTTATCACACTCTTAGTGTTTGAAATAAAAGGATTATATAACAATTACTTAAATAATTCAAAAATAAAAGAGAAAACTATAACTCATACGTCAAATAACTAATTCATACTCACAACTCAATCAACTCATTTGTTTACCCTTATTCTATTATTTTAATATGTAGATTATGTGGCCGTTTAAGATTTATTCTATTATTTTAATATGTAGATTATGTGGCCATATAAGATTTAAATATGTAACTCATACTTCCATGCTATTACCTACTTTCTCATTGGTCAAATAGAACCTGCTGAATTTAAAAAAAATAATAATAAAAAAAATACATATTCTACGGTAGGTATAATAAGTCGTTATATTACATATTTTACGGCGCGCAATCAGCGTCATTATTTGTCTCACTAATTAACGGCGTGCAAAAGTAGTCGTAGAAAAGTAATAACGATGCACAAAATCTACTGTTAAATAGTTTTTAACGACGTACTATAGCATGTCGTAGAAAAAGTAATGACGTACAAAATCTGTCTTTAAATAGTTTTTAACGGTATACAAAGTATGTTGTTAAAAGTGAATGACTTTCCATGACTGGTCATAATATGACACGCGTTTGCACGTCGTAAAAGGGTTTTTACGGCGTGCATTGCGCGTCGTAAAAACCATTTTTTGTTATAGCGTTTAAGTTCTGAGGTTGACATTCTGTAAGTGGTCTTGGAAATAGGTTGTGTTCCCGGTGCTACTTCACTAGTGAACTCAATTTCCCTATCAACTAAGTCTCTAGGCAAGTCATTTGGAAATACATCGGAAACTTCACAAGCAAAAGAAATGGTTTCTACATTTGAAATATTAGAAACTTCAGTCAAAACACAACATATGTAACCCTACATCCTTTCTTAAGCAGTTTAACAGCTTTCATGGCAGAAATCAAGTATGGGGAAGGAATTACCCTATTCCCGATGAACACAAACTCAGGCAAGCCAGGTGGACGAAATACAACAAATTTATTTACACGGTCAATAGTCGCACAGTACTTTGTCAACCAATCCATGCCCAATATACAATCAAAATGGTCTAAGCTCAAAGGTAACAAGTCAACATATAATGTCATATCACCAATTGTAATATCACATGTCGGAAACGTATATGCATATACCATAGAATCTCCGGATGGCATAGTTACAGATAATAAATAATTCATGGATTCTAAGGGTCTAGTTAACTTCCGATAAAAGGCATGCGACACGAATGCATATGTAGAACTGGAATCTATCAACACATATGCATTTTGGGCACAAATGGAAATTATACCTGACACCACAAACTCAGTGTTCTGCACATCTCCGGGCACTAATGCGAACATCCTCCCTTGTCTCAACATTTCATTCCCAGAGTTATTCCTGACATTGGTTCTGGTATTCGACTTGGCCACCGAAGCAGACCCAGCTGAACTTGTTGCGGGGCAATTGGCGTTGTCGAGCCCAAGTGGACAATCTTTTATCATATGGCCAACTTTGCCACATCGGTAACAGGCACCAGACGCGTGGTGACACATTCCTCTATGCTTTCTTCCACACCCAGGACAGTTTGGAATAGAGCCACTACTCTGACTAGAGCTGCTGGAAGATCTCGTATTTTGTTTCTTATTCATGGCAAATGAACAACCCTTTTTGAAATTGAATTTGGATCTTTTACTTTACCATTTTGTGGTTGGTGCCTTGGCTTGTTTTATTGCTGCCAAGGTAGCTTCCGCCATTATTGCTCTATC